CCCCCCCCCTCTCTCTCTCTCTCTCTCCCTCCCTCTCTCTCTCACTTTGGGTGTGTTGGTACCTCTTTGCCCAGAGCTGCATATGGTGTGATGCCGAAAACAAGACGGAACACCAGGACTCCTGCCATGAGCAGACAGACAGACAGACAGACAGACAGAAATGAAGAGAGATAAGATTCACTTGTGCATGTGCGTTTCTCCTTAATCAAAGTGTGTCGGCATCGTACGTACCGAATGCGAATATGTCGACCTTTTGGCTATACGGCTGCCCCCGCTTCATGCGCAGGACCTCCGGCGGCGAGTACTCGACATTGCCCATCCTACCTATCCTGCACAACACACAAGACTGAATGAATGAACGAATGTGTCGATCGATCGAGGGGCGGGCCCCTGCCCACCCACCAGTCTCCTGAGCGGATGTAGTGTCGAAAGCCGCTCAGGGACGGCATCAGGAAGCACCCCGCACGCAACGACGCCTCAAACAACAGCAGATGGTCCAGGGACACGCCACGGTGAACACCGCCGCTGCAGCCATGGACGGACACACAATGGACACAGACAGACAGACAGACAGACAAGCCGTCCCGTGAGTCAGCACAGCACATTTGTCTATCTGTCTGTCTGTCTGCTGGGCGACCCGACCCCCAGTGTGTGAGTGAATGGATAGATCAGTGAGTGAGCTGCTCGGTGACTGACTGACTGACCGACCGACCGATTGTGGACCCTCTCCAAGGCTCGGAGCATGGCGCCGCAGAGCCACCCGATGGTGCTTTCGCTCGTATGGACGATCCCCTTGCTGCATGCATCAGCAACAAGACATACATACATACATCGACCGACCGACCGACCAGTGAGTTCCGTATGGCTAACCTACTGAGAAACTATACGGCGTCATTCCTGGCCATGGGAAATGCGATGCAGACGTGGTGGCCGGTGATGACGGCGGCGCCTGCGGGAACCACGTACGGGCTAGTCATGGCAACCATGCCCTGGAACGTGGCCGAGCGAAATATCTGCACAGGGACAAGCAAACGAACAAGATGCACTCACTCACGACTAGACTAGACACACACACACCCAGATAAGTGCATTCGTTCATGCCACCTTGTGTGTGTACTGTACCTCGATGCGACCGACTTGGTCATCTTTGTGAGTGGTGTAGATTTTGACGGCGCGCTCCCACTTCCCCGCCGTACTGATACCCACCAGGACCACGTTGTCGCCGCCTCCCAGGAACATCGGTGCACACACAGGTGAGTGCGGATCCATCTGATATGATACCAAGGGGAAAGAATCCATTCCTGCCCTTGCATCAATTGCCTTCCTTCTTCCCCCAGGCAGCCAAGGCAAATACGTACCGGGAAGATGAATTCCTGGTGGACGGCTCCCCACTCACACATGGGCGGCGTCTGGCTCATCAGCCGCTGCCGACGGAGGGCTGCGGGGGGCTGAGCCACTCGGCAGCCAATGACATCTGAACGTTTGTATTGGCAGACACACACACAAAGGCATCGCATCAATCAACACGCCTTTGTGTGCGACTTAATAGCTCGACTTCCGTACCATGATGCGATCATAGGCCGCACCGGTGGATATCTTGAGTGCCATCTCCCCCTCCTCGCGGTGGACGGCCGAGACCACCACACTCTCACCGCTCTCTCCACCGCCCAGTATGATGGGAGCAAAGCCACGCAGCTTCGGGTCCAGCTGAGAGCAAGAGATCCATCCACACAACGTATGTATGTATGCATTCAATGCCGCCCCCCCCAGCCAACTCCCCACCCATACCAGCAACAGCAGGGCCCGGCGTTTGATGACGAGTACCCCAAGGAGGTGCCCGTCTTGGCTGCGGGCGAGGCACTGTACTGGGTGCGGGTGGACGAGAGAATGGGTGGACCCCTACTCATTACACACACATCCCTCTCTGCAACGCACACACACATGCATTCATTGATTGCATTCATTGCCTCGTTAGTGGGTTTGTGATGTGTGTTGTGTGGAGGAGTACGCACCTTCACGCAGCGGTGTGGGGCGATGCGATCTTCTCAATCACGGCAGCCAGGGACTCCCTCTCCGACACGTTGGGATTGCACAGCCCCCGTAGCAAAACCAACGCCATGCCCAGGTCCTCCCCCGCCCCGCCCCTCTGCTCTCCCTGTCCCTCATGTTGCTGGTGTCTGGCCCGCGCGGCCTCTATATGCCAGACGAGGACGTCGAAGCGACGTCTGGCGCGCTCGGGGTCGGTGACCTCGTCTTGGGCGGCCTCGAGACTCTCGTTGTCGACGCGCACGCCGTCCAGCACTGCCCCGAATCCCCCGAAGGAGCTGCCCATGTGTGGGGCTGCCAGCATGACGGCGCATGCTAGGCCGACCGAGTACGCGTCCTGTGTTGGGGTGGGATGGAGCGCGAACGACAAAGGCTCGGCCGACTCTTGGCCGCCGCCGCTGCTGCTGCCGCTTCTGGCCTGGGGCTGGGTGTGGGTGTTGGAGAAGAGGTGCTTGTCCCGAGTGTCTTCCAGCTCCCAAGCGGCGATGACGGCACTGGCGACCTCTCGCTGCGCCTCAGGAGGCGTCCAGGGCTCCAAAGAGGGGCAACATGGGCAGGTCAGCGACGCGCGAGGCCGTCACTGGGCGACGTGAGGCGGTCATGTGGCTGGTGAACTCGAAATCGATGGCCGTCACGTCGAAGCGCGCCACATCCCCCTCCACCAGACGCCGGGAGACGAGGAAACGGGTTGGCGTCTCCGTGGATGTATCCACACTCTTGCAGGCGGTGAAGGGTCTTGAGGGCAGCGATGGCGACCTGCTGGAAGTGGCGCCCCTCGCATGGCCAGCACCTCGAGCGTGCGCTTGATGCGCTGCAGCCGCGCGTCGGTGTCGACGTCCTCGTTGGCGCGGACCTTGTAGAGGTCGAGCACCCTCCTTGTTCACCAGCGTCGTGTCGGGACAGCCCTACACAAGCACAACAAACAGGTCAACGACTGTTCTGCCTTCCTGCCTGCCTGACTATGCAGGCATATCCCTTTTTCTCACTTACCGCCCACTTGACGACATACGTGTTGCCTTCCCTCTCACACAGGACGAGTCTGACCTCCTGCAGTCACGACAAAAATGCCATCAAGATGGATGCCTCGTCGAATCTCGATCTCGTAGTCAGCCTGCCCCTCGGGTCACGCTTGATGCGCTCGGTCATGCTCTGTGTCAGCCTGCAGCTCGTACGCAGGCGCCGCCTCTGGTCACACACATACAGATCATCAGCCGCTTGTATGTGTCGTGGGCCTTCGTACCTTATCGAAGAACTTGTCGTATCTAGCAGGCTCGCCGAGCAGCTCCGCCATGCTATGCGGTGGTGGGCGCTGAGCACATAGACACGCCAACATACACAGTCACTCTCCGTCCGTGTCTCGCGTTTTGTGTGTGATGCCCACCTGCAACAGCGTGTGCAAGCTGTGGCTGATCAGATTTCCTCCTCTCCAGCTGGTCCACAGATAGCGGCCGGCCGGCCGGACGGCCGGCCGGCCTGGCTGTATCTACAAGCAGGCCAGACAGAGAGACAAGAGAGACAGACACACACACAGACAAAGAGAAGTGGAAGAGATGTGAGGAACACAGTCGAAGACGTCACCCTCCGTCTCTCTTCGGTCTGTCTGTCTTTGCGTGCGTACCTGCGCCAAGGTAGGCAAGTCAGCTGTTGTCCTAGAACGGACCACCGAACCAGGCCGGCAAGGAAGGAAGAAAGACAGCCCGCTTGTCTGTCTGTCTGTCTGTCTGTCTGTCTACGGCCCCAAGCACCAAACGACAAACAAGACCATCACAAACACCAAACTAACAAGAGCTAGCTAGCTAGCTACGCAGACAAACATACAGACAGACAAATATGTACATACGTACACACATAGACACACGTATGCTGTCTGTCTCTACTTCTCTATAATTTACATTCTCTGTTTGTTTTGTACGGATGAAAATTGCGATGAATTGGGATGGATTGGGATGAATTGCGATGAATTGGAATGAATTGCGATGAATTGGGATGAATTGCGATGCGTCTGTCTGCCTGTCTGTGGAGGAGCGGAGGGAGGAATTAGCTGGATTGAGGGTTTTGATAAGGGCGAATTAAGGGAGAAGGCCGTTGGTGGGGGGTGTTTGTTGTTATATTGCCGTGGTGCCGAGTTTCGTTACCATTTGTTTGGAGCGTAGAAGGCCATGAGGCGGGCGGGCGATGAGGCGATGGGCGTCGATCGAGGGAGAGATGAGGAGGAGGAGGAGGAGGAGGAGGAGGAGAGCTTGGGCGCTTGCATCTACGAGCAGGCCAGACAGAGACACACAAAGAGTGGATGACATATGAGATGTAACAAACCGTCTCTCTCCTGTCTCTCCTGTCTGTCTTTACGTGCGTACCTGCGCGTTGGGTATGCCGCCATACCACGAACGAACAAGGGAAGGAAGACAGCCCCCCTATCTGTCTGTCTGTCTACAGCCGCAAGCACCAAACGACAAACAAAAGCCTCACAAACAACTAGCAAGAGCTAGCTAGCTACACATACATACACATACACGTATGCTGTCTTTAGTATCATGCGATGCGTGTGTGTGTGGAGGAGCGGAGGAGTTTGTTGATCTGATGGCTTTCATTAAGCAGACAAGGATAGGGCCGTCGGTGGTTGCGTGTTTTTTGGCGTGGCGTCAATTCGCATCCACAAGTCGGGGCCGGGTTTCGTCACCATTTGTTTGAAGCGTAGAAGACCATGAGGCGGGTGGGCGGTGAGGCGATGGAGAGAGATATGAGGAGGAGCGAGCTTGCTCCTTCTTTCTTGAGAGAAAGGGACGATGGGGGCAACTCCCGCGGACGCGACGCCTTGTCGTCGACGGCGGCGCTACACCAGAATGTACTCAACTTTCCTCGTTTGTTTCCGCTCACCGGGTTTTCCTTTCTTTTCTTTTCCAGGAAGAAAAGAGGCTGTCTGTGAAGCAGCAAAGGCAAAATTCGGAATATTCTGAACACCTGATTCATTGAATACTTTGTTCACCTGTTGAAGACTCTATCGAGAAAAGGAGACGGCCATCAGGAGAAGAAAGATTCCATCTGCACACACAACAATGCCCAAGGACTGATCACACACATCCGACAATGCATTCATCCGCACACCATCCAATACCACACCACCATCGCCGCAGGCGAGAAGCACCCATGGAATCCATCGCCAGGTCACCACACATATGTGAGGTTGCTCAGAGGGCAGAGGCGATGGGCAGGCCTGACTCACACCACCACACATGAGCGCACCACACCACGTCACCACACACATGAACTGACCTCTTGAGGACACCATCGAGAAAGGAGACAACCATTAGGAGAAAAACCCAAAATCTCATCTGCGCACAGGAATGACAGCAGATGAGAATCTGATCACCGCAGCATCCCTTAGCATTCTTCATACACCATACCATCACCGCAGCCAACCAAAAGACATGACACGACGTATAGTACTCACCTGAGGATGCTCAAAGCTTGAAGACGAAAGAAGGTGCGCCCACTCAGCTGACGCCATACAGCTTTCAGGCAGTCGCCACCCGCTCAGCAGCAGCCGGCAGGGTGACACCGGAGGAGTCCTCGCTCGTGGCCCGGCGGTAGGGAAAGGACGGGTAAGATTTCATCAGGACGAGTTGGGAGGGGCGGAAGGGGATGGGGCGGACCACATAAGCCGAAAAGCAGATGAAAAGGGAAAGAAACGCGGGATCTGTGGCCGAGAGAAGGCTGAAAGCGCGATGCGGAGCCAAAAATGTGAAAAGCGGGACGAAATTTCTGTGTCGGGGGCTCGTCGGGGTTCGAAATTTCTCGTCCCGTCTCCAATTCTCGCCATGCGAGCTCGCGAAAACCCTAAACCCTGAAACTGAAAAAACCCAAGAGATGGAAAGCCCGGCTGTTTTCAATGCTTCGCATTACCCCGATGGCGTGAATGCCAACTTCGTCAATTCGACAGAGGAGCAGCTCAAAGAAAAATACGGCAATGGTACCGACCGTGCGGAGGCGAACGCGAATCTATGCGTTCATTCGGTGCTCATGATGAACTGTTTATGTGCTGCTGGTGTGTGCAGGCAGCGGTTTGTTTGAAGATCCTGAGCAGCGTGACATCGCCAAGTGCAAGGACGCCATCCTCAAGGCGCTCCGTCAGCACTGTCATCTGTCGCCCGGCTGTTGCCTGGTTGATGTGGGGGCTGGCACCGGCCTCTTCCTCAAGGACTTCTCGGCCATCATCGGCAATCAAGGTAGGTGCTATGTGGACATGTATGGCTGCTTTGATCATGCATATCGATGGGTGGGTGCTGATGGATGTGTTCTGGATGGATGCTGCAGGAAGCATCTATGCGTGCGAGTTGAGTGATGGGTTTCTGGGGCTGCTGGAGCGCCTGTGCGACGAGGAGGGGCTCACCAACGTCATTACTGTCAAGACCTCAGACACCTCTCTGCAGCTGCCTGAAAGTGCCAAAAGGGTATGAGCGCCGGAGTGAGGAGTACGAGTACAGATCACCGCTGCCTGCCGTGCATTCGCTATGCATGTGTGCTTGTCCCGTGCAGGCGGCCGACTTGGTGTTCATCTGTGACGTGTACCACCACTTTGAGTACCCCCGGACCTTCATCAGACACATCGCCGATGACGTCATCAAGCCGGACACCGGGCTGCTTGTCGTCATTGATTTCCACCGGATCCCGGAGAAAATTTGGTCACGGCCGCCTGAGTGGGTGCTGGACCACGTGAGGGCGGGGCAGGACACATTCAAACAAGAGGTGCGTGAGAAATGCACTACACTCAGGGAGGGAGGGAGGGAGGGAGGATGGAAGAGGGATTTTGCGTGTGGTGTGTGCTGATGGTGTGGTGTGCATGCAGATAGAGGAGAGCGGCTTTGAGTATCTAAGCGATGTCGAGGTGGAGGGAATGCGCGAGAACTACATGATGACATTCCGACCCAGGAAAGAGCCTACTGCTGGTGACTGATGTCGCCGGCCGGCCGGCCGGTTAGCTGGCTGGCTGGCTGGCGTACCTTGCTGCTTCGTGTGTGCATTTAGTCATCAGATTGTTTGGTTGCATGTGATGTGCGTGAGAGTGTGTGACTCTACTCTACCTACCCCAGCAAACATCAATCAGCCGCTGAAACATCATTTATTCGAGTGCGTGTCCGTCCGTCTGCACACCAGCTGAGCTATGCACACAGTACACACACGTACATACGGTATACACAACACATCCAGCCATCCACCGGTCAGTCATCTTCATCTGCATCATCGTAGTCGTCACCACCGTGTTCCTGCTGCGGGTGTATGTCCTCGTCTATGCCCTCGTCCGCCTCGGGCAGGTCCGCCAGCGGCTGACCCACACCCCGATACACATCCTCTAGCAGCGAACTGCACACACATACACACACACACACACACATAAATGTGTGTTGCGGTCGGTCGTCTCTCTGCTGCTGTGTCCGGGGCTGTGTGGCTGACCGGTCCACATAGGGCCCGAGGGCGATTTTGGCGCCACGCATTTTCTCGATGAGCTCAAAGGCATCATCAAACTTGCGGACGGACGCATAATACCTGACACGGCAAGAGAGAGAGAGACAGACAGACAGACCGACACACGAGTGGTGGGCTCTGTCGGGACCCTGGGGCGTGGGTGTGTGTGTCTCACTCGATGAGTTGTGCGTATACGTCTCCCGCGCGTATGGCTGTCTCGAGGTCAGTCTGACCCAGCAACGCCCGGCACACCTGACAGACAGACACATATGTGTAAGCAGCCACATGGATGGATGGATGGCTGGCTGGATGGCTGGCTGGATGGCTGAGTCTGTCTCACTTTGATCATTTCCTGTGGGTCTGATTTCATCATCCTGCGGGCTGACGCAAACCTGATCCATACCATCCATCCAGCCACCCACCGTATGTGTGTGGCTCCGTTGATTGCGTTGATTGCACCCACCCACTCCACTGACTTGTCGACCAGCTGTATCCTCCGCTGCAGCGCCACCACGCGTGTATCGTGTTCAATGCCGGGCGGCATGTGTGTGTCCTTGTCGATGCCCAGGGACCTCAGGAAGGCCTTGAGTGCCTCCTTGAGCAGCCCCGCGGCCTTGTCGTAGTCTCGATACTCGTCCACCTCCACCTGACTGCAGCTGTCGTAGAACTGGCTGAGCTTGTCGAAGGCCTTGGCCTTGGTGTAGAAGCTGATGATGTTCCTGGTCACCTCGGGGTCCGATTGCCACTCCAGGCCTTGCAGGTAGTTGGCCGCCAAGATGTACACCTCGGCTTGACGAGCTGTGCCTACACACACGCACAGACAAAGGGCGGCCATGCGGATGGCCATGCGGCCATGCATGTGTGTGAGGGGGGGGTGTATTAGGGTATGTGCCTGCGAAGAAGACGATTTTCTGGGTGTCGCCTGCCTTGAGCAGGCTCTTCATGGCCTTGACTTTGTCGCCAGCTTGGGTGAACTTCTTGCATGCGAGCTGGAAGAGCCCCTGACGCTTGCACACCTTGCCCAGACGACCCAGCAAATCAGACCGGACGTCGGCTGACATCCGGATACACACACGCACACACACACACACACACATACACACACAGCTACCAGCCATGCACTCACTCATCCCCAATGGTGGTGGCTGTTGTGTGTCCATCTGTATGCATACCGGAGAGTTGGTTCTTGTCAGGTGTCATTTTCTCGACCAGGTCCTCGCTGAGCGGCACATCGTGGGCCTCACACAACTCTATCGCCTGAATGCACATCATGGGTTCGCTTCGGTTCGGTTCGGTGTGTGTCTTGTTCTTGTCTGGCGCCTCGATTGCCTCTCTCACCCGTTCGTATTGCTTGGTGGCGCTGAGGAGCCCGACCGCCTTGTCAGGCTGCTCGTTGGCTATCAGGAACTCGGCACACCTACACATACATGCGCACACCATCCATCCACTGCTGGTGCGTTTGCGGCCCGGATGAGGTAGGTACCTGGTGAGCAGCTGCGGGTCGGCCTCCTTGCTGAGCTCGTCTGCGATGCGTCTGAGCCCGTCGACCAGGTGGTGCTCGAGGCATATGTCGACGGCCTTGCGCACCTGGCCCGCCTTGCTGTACAACACCACAGCCTTGGACGCCTGGCCACGCTGAACACACCAATCCAATCAGCCCACCAACCGACCCTTCCACCCACACACACAGACGTGCATCGGTGTGTTCCTTTCTATTCAGTGGCCGACGGCTGACGCTTGACGGACGGACCAGTAGGTAGTATCGTGCTGCGGCTGACATTTCCGTGGTGGTGGACGAGAGGGCCATGCCCATCAGATCGCTCTCAAGGCCGGCGTCCTGCGCAACCCTGTGCACACAAACAACCGTCACACGCACACAACACACGACATACGCACACACAGGGGGGCGGGCATGTGTGTGTGTGTGTGTGTGTGCGGGGATTACCTGATTGCCTGTCTGACGCGCCCGGTCTTGCTGTACCAGTGGATGGCATCCTTCGGCCGACCCTCCAACTCCAAATGCCTGGTTGGCGGCGCCGACACACACATACACACACACACATACACACACACATTGATTCCATTCGTGCGACTTCGGTTCCTTCCCCCATGCGGCGCACTTGGCAAGATGGTAACATGCGGCTGCGTCATTGGTGTCGTTGCAGATCTGCACTGCCGACTTGACGTTCTGACACACACAAAGGCGCACATCAGATGGTCTGTGCACCAACCATATGGTCGAGGGGGGCATGTGCCCACCGACCTGGTTGAGGCAGTGCAGGCGGACGAGAGCCACCCAGTCGTCAGCCTTGCGATAGTACCGCATCGATCCATCCAGGTCGCCACACGACTCGTAGTAGGACGCCAGCCACCTCCACACAACACACACACCAGTTCAGTTGAATGTCCTGCCTGACTGAACGGCACGGCGTATGTATGTGTGGTGGCTGACTGAGTGACTGACTGACTGACTGACACACTTGTAGAGGCGTTTGTCTTCGGCCTGGTCGACGTAGGCGGTGAGTTCTTCCACCTTTCCAGCGGCCTGCAGCATGCGCGGCACCTCCCACGCGTGGACCTGAGCCGCCTCGTAGTCACTGTGAGTGACACAGAGGGAGGGAGGGGTCCCTATGCACGTGTGTTGTGTTGTGTTGTCTATTGGAGTGAGTGTGGATGTGTGTGTGTGTGTGGATGGTATGGCTACGAGATAGCGTCTTGGGTTTGTCCGGTGCTCTCGTGGTACTGTGCTGCGGCGTAGTGAGTGCTGCGGAGGTGAATGCGGTCCTTGTCAGACGCGACCTACACACACACACACACACACATGGATGGATGGATGGATAAATGGATGGATGGTGGCCACCACACCATAGAGAGCCCCAACTCACTCACTCAGTCACCTGCAGTGCCTTGTCGAATTGTGCGCATGTTTGGTGCAGCTGGTTGAGCAGGTCATACCGCCCGCACTGCTCATACAGACGACTCGCCTCATCAACCAAACCTGCATGCCATGCAGCACATGTCGTGTCACATTATACACACACCATTGCCATTCACCGAGATGCAGCGCCACGACAGCCAGCCTCGCGTCGACTTCAGGCTCCTCACATTCCCTACACACACGCGCAGAAAAACTGCTAGCTGTCCTCAGCTCTCTCTGCCACCCCCAGGACCGACCCACCTGAGTGCCGCAGCAGCGGTGGCATGTCCCAGCTCAGCGAGGCACTTGGCGGCCACGTCGAGCCTCTGTGTCTTGACGCACATCTTGGCCATCGACAGCCACACGGTGCGGCTCTCCACCCCCTGCACTGACCGGTACGCCTCGTCAGTGTTGCCCGCAGCCAAATGGTAAGAGAAATCCATAAGCGCCTCTTAAGAAATCACCACACACACACAAACATAGGTGGATGGATGGACGGATGGACGGATGGGTGTGTGGCTGGCTCACTGGCAGTTTTGGCGTCTACGTGTTCCAGGCCAGCGAGGTCCCTGAGTGTGCGGCGGAGTATGCGTGTGGTGTCGGTGTCCGAACCGCCCGCTCCTGTCATGGGCAGCAAGTACACGAACGGGGCCGCCAGAGCGACCGGCATCAGACACACATCGCCGCTCTCGTCCTCTTGACATGCCACACAATCCTATACCGTCACACACACACACACACACGTGTGCGCCTTTCTCTGTGTGTTTGTGTGTGTGGTTGGCCCGGCCCACCTGTCTGACAATGCGTCCGTCAGGTGTGACGAAGAGTGTGAGCAGATGGGGGCCGGTCAGGGGCGGGGGCGAGTCCGCATTGGCGTCATCGGCGGACAGCGTGACGGTCTCACCGACCTGGCAATCAACACAACACACCCAGACAGACAGATCACACAGACAGTGGAACCGTTACACACAGCACACTGGTGTTGGGTGTGGTGTACTGTGCTGGTTACCTGGCTGTCAGCGAGACCGTCGCTATCGTCATCCAGCGATCGCTGAGGGGCCATCTCGCACGCCTGATCGACCCATCGACCCACCCATACAGCCATCTATCCATCCACACATAGTATAGTCCTCTTCCCTCTCTTTCTCACCATGAACCTGGGGTCTGTGGCGTCCCACATGTGCGACACGGGCGCCCACTGATGGCCCACACTATACCTGTAAACAACACGCACACAGAGAGAGAGAGAGAGAGAGAAACAGAAAAAGGTGAGTGTATGCCCCATGTCCCGTACACACACACACACACACACACATCCAGCTATACAGCTACACTTGACTGACCTGAGAAATCTTGACTGACCTGAGGAATCTGTCGGATTCAGCGTCATAGATGAACAGCCGCGGGTCGGCAATCCTGACGTCCCCCTCAGCCGTCACCCCCTGGTCAACCAGCAGGCTCAGCCGCGTGCCGCTGCAGTTGACTCGCACCGACCGCACGTGGCCCAAGGGCACGCTGCTCCCGCCCGCTGACTCCTCAAATCTACACATACCATCACACACACACACACACAAATGCACCCGTGTGTGTGTGCTCGGAAGGATTGGAGACATACCGTCTTGGGACTCCCATGGGTTTTGGTTCGGCCCGCGCCAGGTTCCATATCCTGAGGACATTCTTGTCGGTGCAGGCGGCGAGGTACCCACCGTGAGTATCGAGCAGACGGGGGGCGCCCTCCATCTCACCGCTGAACGTGAGAGACTTCCGCACCGCCCCCTGCATGACAAAGGGAGGGAGGGAGGGACACATAAGGGATGGCTGGCTGTCGGCCGGGGGCTTCATCACATGCTCGCTTATTAAGTACCTTGACAGAGAGGATGTCGATCTTCAGCCCTGATGCGACGTAGATCTGCCGGTCGTCCTTGGATACCTGTGTGTGTGAACATAGAAACGTACCAACAGGGCTGCCTGTGTGTGTGTGTGTGTGTGTGTGCACATGGACACACACGTACGTGCATTGCGACGGTCCGCACTTTGGGGTACTTGAACGACCCCGCACTCTCAAACTCCAAAGACCGCTCGTCGACCTCATACACGTGAATCTGACCCACACCCACACACAGCTCTATAGCCATCCACACACACACATAGATACAAAAAAGGAGCAGACCTGCGAGTTGTTCCAGACGAGGACGAGTGGCGGCCCGACGACCACCCCCTTGATGCGGAACGGGGGCGACACGCACATCGGTGTGTGTGCGGGGGGGCCGTCGGACGGCGATGCAGCAAAAGTCGGATGGAGCGGCGTCACCATGCGATCGAGCAACACCTTCATCGGACCCACCTGCACACACACACACACACACACGCACACGCACACACCAATCACACCAAACACACCAAACACGGGTCCACACGATGCTGTGTGCCGATCTTCCCTCCCTTAATCCATCTGTCTGTACTTGGACAGCGAGTAGGGGTGGTTTGGCTGAGGCCGTGAGTGGGGTCTCTGCCAGCACTGTGCAGGCGTCCTTGTTGTATGCGAGCAGCAGGTGCTCGCCGGGCCCCCACTGGATGCCGGCCAGCTGCGGCAGGTGCAGGTGCATCGTCGGCAAAGCCGCCCACTGCTCGTCAGACGTGGACAGACGGTGGTGCAGACTAGACAGGCCGCAACGCCACTGATCCATTGACAAACACACAAACAGCACTGCATCAAGGAGAGAGAGAGAGATAAGGTGTGTGTGTGTGTGTGCCTGTACGACTCGGCCGTCTTTGGTGCCGACGGCCACGACGCGCTTGCGGGGGTTGTAGGCGATGCAGCACGCTTTGTCGCCTGACGAATAATGGACGCAGCACAGACAGACACGAACCGAACCATGTGTGTGTGTCCGTTATGCATTCAGACATATAGACATACATACCCGGCAGCCGTGTGCCGGTCTCTCCGTGCAGCGGCAGGAGGAAGTTCTCGTCATCGACGAGGTTCCAGAAGCGCACCAGGCTCTCTTGCGACACCGTGGCCAGCACACCAGTGCCCCCACCGCACCCACCACTACCACTCGCCCACACCCCTACACACACACACACACAACACACATGGGAATGGGATGGACGGGGGAGATGAGAGGACGGTTCGTTCATGGCCGACCAGTGATGGTCTCGGGGTTGGGTCCACAGGAGAGTTTGGTTTTGGTCTCGTTGACGACGGCGCCCTCGTGGTTGAGGTTGAACTGGATCAGCAGCACGCTGCGCGTCACTATCACCACACGGTCGTCGTCATGCAAATATTCCAACACCGCCAAAGGATGACCCACCTTGTACCTATCACACGGTCGCACACACGCGCCGCGCCTCCCTGTTGGCCCTCTCTCCCTCCCCCAAGCACCATCTCACCCACCTTTCGGCACACGCATTGGTGTCATCGGCGTGGTAGAGGACGCCCCCCTCGCCCCCGAAGAAGAATGGCGGTGTGGGGTGGATGTCCCCCGTGTGTGTGTGTGTGCGGAAGACCACGTGTGTCTGGGCGCCGCTCCGGCGATAGTGGCACACGGGGGACGAGTGGCAGCGGCCGTCGATCTTCCACACGTACACCAAACCTGTGTAGTAGTGTAGAACAACCCAATGACACAGCGAAAGATCTCTCTCTCTCTCTCTCTCCCCTCAGCTGCCTTACCGGTGGTGTCAGTGGTGACGAGCCGCGTGCCGGCGGGGTTGAATGCGATGCAGCAGATCTCGTCCTTGTGGGCCTCCCTCTCCTCCCGCCAGCCCCCCTCGCCCCCCATGTCCGTCCAGAAGACCAGACACCCGTCCCGCCATCCCCCCACCAGCAGGTGCCCACCCACCTGGCCTATCGACGGCCGGTGCTTCCTGCTCGACGGCTGCCACGCAAGAGCTGTGCAGTCGGCAGACGGGCGCGTCAGGGCCACGGGGGCGTTGGATGAGCCTCCTCCGCTGATGAGTGGGTCGCCCTCCTCTCTGTAGATGGCGAGGGAGTGGTCGGTGCAGGCCACGGCCAGCAGGGGCGGGAGGTCAGGGGCGCGGGACCAGCACGCCGTCACAATGGGTGCGCTCGTGGGCACTCGGAAATCAAAATACGTCGACATTGCGAAGTGTGCCGCAGTTCAAAGCTACTCAGTCAGCGCTGCTATACTACATGCAGCCGCCGGGCAAGACACCCACACCGCGGCCTGGCCTGATCTCGCCAAGCCTGAAAGACAAGCTTGATGCGCACTCACTCGATCCATTTTTCTGTGTGTTCATCGTGCAATCGTGTGAGTCATACCGTGAGAAGGAAGGCTCCGTGGCCAGATCTCTTTGGGGAACACTGTTCTCACAAGCTCGCACGATCGTTCACATCTAACATCGGGCATGAGTGATACCTCCAGTGACCAAAATCATGTAGGTGCAACAAAACTCAGTGGGTGCAGTGCGAGAGGGGTTTTGTTGCAGTGCGTTGCAATAGGGAGGTCCGAAGTACCCGTCCGAAGCTTCGACCTCGGTCCGTAAATGCACATGGCTCCACTTGACAGGGCACGGGTCGATGAGCATCACACATATGTCGATGAAGAGCTCCGCGCACACGGCCACAGGGTGCGTGAGACGACCACACACCCCGCAGACATGTACCACGGGCTCCACATCGACATTTGTGTTTCACCGTACGCCCGACAGGATTCGTCAGCATCACACACACACACACTTTCCCCCCCGGCAACGCAGTACACACGATGTGTGTATGTGTGTGTGCCCACCCCCGTACAGTACATGGTGTACTTTGTACCCTGTACCCCTACCACACAACATAACATAGACAGACTGACTGACTGATTTACGGGACAGGCACTCCGCCATCGTCAAGGCCGAGAAAATGAATGCCCTCCCACGTACCAATGCGAGAGGACTGACTGTACACCCACCTTCCCACCCACCACCCATGTCTGCCTGCCCTGCCTGTGGGAGTGGTGTGTGCCTTTCTTGTGCGTGCGTATGTACAGCGACTGGAATTCGAGCCATCCATCCATCCCCCATCGATAGTGGGCATCACATCAAAACCGCAAACAAAAAGACAGCACCACAGCACAGCACAGCACACAGCAGCTCACAGACACATCCAGGCAAACACCGGGGCGCGTCACGCCTGTCTGTCGGTCAGTATGAAATGAATCAACCAACGGTCACACAGTGTGTGAGATATTCAGTCCTTGGTCGGCGCCCAGATGGCCAGGTTGCCGTAAGAAATCGACGCGAGAATGTCTGAAGGAACCCGCCGGCAGCCATGCCACCGAGGAACGCACTCCTTTGCTGCATGGCCCGGTCATGCATGCGTCCCACCCATTGTTTCTCACCGTAGTTGGAGTGGATGGCTGCGAACGATGAAATGGTGATGGCATCGTCCTCGAGAGTCTGAGAAGGCAACAATATATCGACACAGACACGAGTGGCGACATTCAAGCGGATTCTCTCTTGGTGTCGATGCATGTTTCCACTGCTGACCGACCGACCGCTTTGTGTCCGCCAGGGTGTGCGAATGACGTCACGAAGACCTCCACCTTACGATCCAGAGAGCCGCTCTGCAACAACAGAGATAAAGAGAAATGCAAATTCCGCTGCCAAGAGTGCGTATTGCTTACCGTGAAGACGCCCGGAATCCTCGGGTGCCACTTCGGCTGCATGTGTCCACACACACACAGACACACACACACACAGAGATGCGGCCGCCCGTCTTCTCCTTGTGTTGACACATCTGGGTTGCAGCTTAGCTTACGTCGAAGTCAGTGATCCACAGGCCGGTGTTGTTGTTGTGAGCTATGCTGCAGATAGCAAAATGGCAACGCACGTACACACATACACACACGCAGAAAGGCCTCTACCTCCTTGCTCTCCCCTCTCACCATGCACAGCCCGGGATTTTGGCCTTCTTGTCGAAGAAGTGGAATGAGTTGCCATGCGTCCGCAGATACGCAGACGGCTTCTCCTTCCCCTCCACTGCACACACACAACGCAATAAACACGCCAAGACAAAGGGGCGATCCACACCTAGGCCTAGCCGCCGCCCATCTCTCTCTTTCTCTCCGGCCGCGTGCGTACGTACCTCTCCAGTTGTGGGGCATCTGGGGTACGCCGTGTATGTTGTGGATGACCCCATACAGGCTGTCCAGGGTGCTGATGAGCAGCGAACGGCCGTCGGGCGAAAAGGACGACGTCTGCACACACACCACACAACACAACACAACACAACACGACACGGACAAGCATGGACACATGCTAGGTGCGGTGCATTCATTCATTCATTCATTCATTCGTCCGCTGCGCTGCGTTGTGTGGTCACCCACCTTGACGGCTCGCACAGGACCGAGGCTCCACACGGGGTCTCTAACCCTCCTGAGATCCCATATGTGCACCAGACCATCGTTGCCACCTAAACACACACACACACACACGCCGCTGTCTTCACGGATGCGCCCACATGTGTCTGTGTCTGGTGTGTGGTGTGGTGTATGTCACCTGAGGCGAGTATGTGTGCGTCCCTTGGGTTGAAGGAGAGGCTGCCGACCTTCTTGACGTGCAGCCGGTGGCGCGTTTTGCTCTTGCTACGCAGATCGGCCACATACACCTCGCCGCGGTCATTGCCAAAGGCTAGAGTGGTGGGAGAGGCCACTGCACACAAACAACAGAGGAGGAAGCAGCCAAGGGGTCTTGTCTCGGTCACACACACCGTTGTTGCTATTCTTTCTTCTTGTGTGTACCGACCGTCAAGAGCCGTGACCTTAGGCAGTTCTGCCCCATGGCTCTGCAGGATGGTCTTGTTGCTGCCCACACGACGCCCAGGACCGAAACCATTGCTGCACAACAACTGCACATACACACACACACACACACTGTGCTGTCTGTCTGTCTGTTGACTAACGGAACTGACCGCCAGGTCGGTGACACAGACGGTGCCGTCGTACGATGCCGTCGCCACCTTGGTGCTCGTGCCGTCCGAACACTCAGGCACCTCACACTGAAGGCAGCACACACAAAACACACACATACACGCAGTCAGGGTGGGGTGGCGAGGATGATTGAGGGGTTCGTTGCTGACTGCCTGACCACTTTTGCTATGTGGGCTTCGTGAAGGTTCTCCTCGATGTAGTTGTCCCTGCGCAGCAGATGGTACACCGACAGGGCGCCACCCTTGTTGCCTGCACGCACCATAAATGGATGGATGGATGGAGGACAGGAGACGGCTGTCTGTCTGTGTGTGCTGTTTTGGGTACCGGCCAGCAGGAGGGGCTCCCTGCTGCACATGCCGAACGAGAAGACCTTATCACCGTCCGGAGAAATCCGCTCTGAACACACCAACAGACATGTCTTGCCTCTCCCCCGCCGCTGTGCATGGACGGACGTACCTGGTGCATCGGTCAGCTGCATCCGCTTGATCGTCTCCTCAAACCGCCTCAGCTCTACGTCACGCCGCAGGCTCTCGATATCGACCATGTCCCTCTCCCGGGCCCGCACACGGTGGTACAGCGACACCACACCCCCTCCACCATGTGCCTGTCCGCCCTCCCTACCCTTCCTCTGCTGGTGGTGGTGGTGCGGGTGCGCCCGCGCTGTGCCAATCCCGCCGGCCGCCACGGCACTGCCCCTTTCCTCCCGCTTCTTGACCTCCTCCACATCGTGCTGCTTCTTGCGCTCCTCCTCTTTGTGGTCCTCCACCTCCTTCAGACGGTCGCTGCGGCGCAGGTTGATCCGGATGGAACTCGGAGGAGCCCTCGCCGCATCACTGGACTGCTTGCCACTGATGGATGGCGCTGCAGCAGCTGATGCATCGGCTGATGCAGCAGCAGGGGCATCCGATGAGAGGGAGCGCTTCTGACCACGGCGAGAGGGGGGCTGGGCGGCAGGGGGGGCCGCGGGAGCTCCTGTGGCGGTGTCACCGAGGCGGGGTGACCGCCGTGAGCCGGCGACAGCCTTGGGAGCTGCCGAACGCGCCCGCTTCTTGTCAGGTTCGTCGGCAGCCGACGCAGCCTGCTCCTGTCCGGTGCCCCTCTTCGACGGCATTATTCCAAGGACTGATGCGATGATAGCATGCCGCTACAAGCTGTTGTCACAAGTTGGACTCCAGCGAAGGTCGAATACGGAAAAGTTTCACGCCACTTCTCTAACTCCACTGCGGATCACAAACGCACTTGACACACAGATGCACATTGCCCACTCACAGATGACCAACTGCATGTACCCCACCCTCATGCACCCATGGTACATCCACCCACCGCACGGTTCAACATGGAGGCTCCCTGAATTGAATCACCCCCCCTACATACCACCACACACATTCCCATCCCCTCAGTCTCTCATTCTCCACTATCAAACCAATCAATCGGCCGGCCACAGAAGCCCCTCAGCACAGCACAGCACAACACAACACAACACGAGCACGAGAGATAGAGCGAGGTACGAACGCAGCCTCGCTCTCCCATTTGGACGAGTGAAGCGGCCACACGCATCGCATCCACACCAATCAGTCCACACAACACGGCTTCGCACACAACCGCCATCGGACAAACAAACACACACACAAACACACACACACGACTTGACAAAAGAGGCGCTCTGCCTACACTCCACAAACAAACAACCAGACTGAGTCACGACGTGACATGATTGCTCTCATCAGACGATGGACACAGGCCTGCCTACGGTGCGCTGCTGCACTCGTGCGGTCGGCAGGAGTGACCAAACGAGATTTCGCTCCCACCGCCAGGAAATCAGGCGAGCCACCCCGAAGAGCAAGAAGAGTACCAGGTATACCCAGAAGAGCACCATCTGCCCCCCCAGGGCAAGCACACAAAGGAAGGGCACACAGACACCCCACATTGCCTCGCGATACACGATGCTCCACGTCACGGCCAGTGCAATGGTATTCTCCACCCCCGATATGGCATAGATCCCAACACACCGAGTGACCAGCGCGAAAATCACGAAGCCCACGCCGACTGCGCCGAATCCGATGGCCACACACAGCCCGGGGTCCATCTCGTACTCGTCGGCAAACTCCAGCGTGGCGCGGGTGAAGTCCTGGATGAGAGCGATGAAGTAGATGGGAAGGCTGAACAGAATCAACTGCAGGGTGTGCGTCGCCAGCTGGTGCTTGGACTTGCGGTGAGGGAAGGTGGCGCCACCCAGAGGCGCCAGGACAGCCATTCTTTTGGAGAAGGACCACCAGCATGACGCCAGGACACCCACAGCCACGACAGGGAGGGCGAACCACAGCCATGCCAGGGAGGCGGGAATCAGATGGAAGAGCACCGGGAGGAAGAACCACAGCTGATGGGTCAGGATGAGCTGATAAAAGTCAATGCTCCCGAACTAAAGACAGACACACAGACAAACAGACAAACAGACAGACAGACAGACAGAGGCAACCAACCGACCACGGTCAGAGATGGCGATGGAACGTCCTCTCTCGGGAGATCTCACCCTGCGAATCTCCGGCGGCTGGCTGACATCACTGTTGGCTTCGCCGGAATCGCCAGGCGTGACGAGAGGAGCGTACGCGAGACCACCATTGTCGGTGCTGGGCGCTTCCCCGTCGTGCAGCTGGACGGCGTCTGGCATCTCAATAACCGTAACTCAGGAAGGCTCAAGGAAGGATCAGTACGACAGAATCATACACCCGGGACCTCGCTTCCTCCCCTCTCTCGTGGAAATCCGAAACCCTAGCAAACCCTTGCACCCAAACCCGGAGCGAAGTGTTAGAGTTCGAGATGGAGACTGCGCCAATGGAGACTGAGCAGCGGCTGGTTAAGCTGTCATCGTCGCAGGGCGATGTGTTCGAGGTGGAGTTCGGCACAGCCTGCTACGCCGACGTGGTCAAACAAATGATAGATTTCACTTCTGGTAGGGCACACAGGCAGAGCAGAGCAGAGCAGCCGAACCAAGCCTGCCTCCCGCGCTGCCTGCCTGCCTGGTTGTGCATCCGTCGCTGCATATCATTGTTCATTCAGAAAGCAGCGATGCGGAGACCATCCCCCTCAACCTTAAGACGACTGTGTTGGAGAAGGTGTTGCAGTACTGCGACTACCACAGAGACAACGAACCCAAGGAGATTCCCAAACCGCTGCCCACCACCAACCTGGGGGAGGTCCGTCAACTCTCCCATTGCCAGTGGCTGGCGACAGGAGATGCGTACATGGCTCTGTGCTCTGTGTGTGTGTGTGTGCAGATCGTAGGAGACTGGGATGCGGCCTTCATCAATGTTGACGACGAGAACATGCTGTATGAGCTCATACTGGTAAGTGGCGATCAGTGGGGGTGTGCAAATAGCAACGCTTCCACGCTGCTGGTATGTGGTGTGGTGTCGTGTGTTGCGTGTGTTGCGTGTGTTGTGTGTGTGTGTCAGGCGGCCAACTACCTGGACATCAAGCCTCTGCTCGACCTGGCGTGTGCCAAGGCCGCCTGCGCCATCAAGGTCCGCCCATCCATAGCTTCGTGCTGTCTGTCTGTATCTGCGCTGTGTGTGTGTGTGTGTCCGAACGCATCATCACTCACTCAGCACATGACGCCCGACGCGATTCGCGAGCACTTCAACCTGCAGCCCGAACAGATGACGCCCGAGGAAGAGCAGGAGGTCAAGT